CACAGTGTCTACACTTCTTTGCACTCTAACTGCAATTGCCCGAAAAGAAAGTCCAGCTTCCAGAAGTCCCACTATACGGCCCCTATCAAACTCACTAAGTTGACGAAATCGTACAGGTCTCCGTACTCTAGGCATCGTAACCGATCGTAAAGGATGTCAAGAACCAAAATCCGCCAACGTTGATTCTTTACTGCGGCTGAAATACTCATTTTTAGAGCGTTAGTGAATTAAAAAAAAGCAGTATAAAAACCGGAATATCCAACTGATAAGGCTGAAATTTTTTTCACTGGTTATTTACAGTAAGATAAATAAATTCACCAACTTTTATTAAAACAAAACCATTTAAACTGGGTGTTCGGATTTATATGTCACTTAGTATATTTGGAACATATTTATGATGAAATTAAGGTAACTAATAAGGTCTAGGCAGAATATGATCGAACAATAATAAAATGCATACTCCCCTGGAGTGTCCGTTCCCGACTTTTACTATAAATATCAACAAATCAATGACTCAGTCGAATAGCTACTGCTGTACATTATCTTTGTAAATGATTTTAGTAGCTCAAATCAAGTCACGTAAACACATCGATTCTTGTCAATAGCAATCTCTTTTCCTCAAAAAATTTATGAAGAGTTACTAGGAGAGGTACAGCGATGTGTTTGGTCAATAGTCTGCTAGTTAACAACAAATTTTTTAGGCATTAAAATTGAAAATACCTCAAATGGAAGCCACACGTTAACCAGTTCTGCAATAAACCTCTTTGTACATCATGTTTTTTATAGTCTAATCATTTTAGACGAAAATACCCCTGGTTTGCGAAATAATTGTAAAGTCTGGTTTTATTGCTGCAAGTTGTTCAAGGGGATATTCAAAACATGGACGCATAGAATGGGTACACCAATTTTTATGGAAAAACTCTTTATTCGACAACAAAGAATGAGAAAACTTGTTTTTTGGAATTCATTCAAAAGTGTCGACAGGAACGAAAAAAATCTACAAAATGAGACCACACGTTGAAAGATCCGACTAATAGCAAAAAAGTTATGGCCAAAAACCGAGGCAAACTGCAAGTTTTGGCACTTGTTGGTAATGCGACGGTGGTTTCTCGTAGATGTTCGAAATTCTTCAGATTCGTACTTCTAAATAACCAAAACAAAATTGGAGTAGATCGGTGAAGTAGTTTTTGAGAATTTCTAATTGTCTATCCCAAAACACCTGTTATCCGGCCATCACTACTAGTTTAATGAGCAAACACAGGGTTAGTTCAGCAAAATACAGTAGTTTATCTTGCCGATATGAATCGCAAACCATTCCGGAAGTTACATAAAACAAATTCAAACATTTCGTATTTGTGAGTAATTCGCAATAAAAGATGATAGACACATCCGCTTTGCTTTAAAATGTGTATAGTAACGTATTTTTTCGAATATCCTACCGCATTAATTCGTTTAGTTACTCCCAAATACGAAATTTTTGAATTTGTTTAGAAGAAAAAATGTAACCTTTGTTTTTCGCATAAAAATAAGATTATCTTTCGGAATGGTTGGCGATTCATATCGGCGAGGTAAACTAGTGCATTTTGCTGTAAAATGCTCTTTGAACAAACCCTGTATATTGCTCAATAAACTAGTAGTGATGGCCGGAAAGCAGGTGCATTGGAATAAACAATTAGATATAGTTAGTAGTTGCGTGAAATTATCGTCGCATTAACAAGTGCCAAAACCTGCATTTAGCCTCGTTCTTCGGCGGTAACATTTTTGCCATTAGTCGAATCTTTGTATCTGTGGTCTCATTTTGTAGAACTCTTTCGATTGAATCCCAAAAAAACGTTTTCTCACTCTTTCTTGTCAAATGAAAGGTTTTCCCATAAAAATTGGTGTACCCATTTTAGGCGCCCATGTTTTGCATACCCCCTTGAACAACTTGCACCAATAAAACCAGACTTTACAATTATTTCGAGGAAATTTGCTAATATGATTAGGCAATTAGTCAGCTAGGATAAGTGGCCTGGGGATGTCCTTCAGAAACCAGCAGGGTATCCACCATGCAAAAAAGACTGATCAAGTTAATTGTGGGTTAAACACAACTACAAGTTGTAAGGAATGTTTTACACACAGTTGGAAATATTAACATTCCATTTATTTACACCCCAGAGCTGCTCATCTAAGCAGAAACAAATTTGGCAGATTATCCAAAGTTCACAACAGGAAGTTCAACCAGAAACTCGCTTGATGTCCAAACTCCCTCACACAATATTTGATTGGCACTGTACTGAAAAATATCATCGTTTGCTACAGTAAAGAGGATCTGTCAATACATGTGGTTTTATTAGCCCGACAATCATGGCGGATTATATTTTTCATGTCTGAATGTCGCCCCCCCTTGCCACACATCTTCCCATGGTGGAGTAGTGTCTGTCTATAAATTGAGCCCATCTAACTTTTTATGAACTAGCAGTTGTAGGGTCCAATATGAAGTTTTCATATATACATTTTTTTTGTATAGCGGGTGTCTTAGAAAAGTGCTATCGAATGACGTTGAATTTTTGAAAGGAGTATCCTGTTTATTTTCAAACCTTTAATCACAACTTTTCTTCTGGAAGGTCATAAAAAAGTCAGATGGGGGGGGGGGGGGGGCAATTTATATACCTATAAAAGTTATCAAAATGAAAATATTATCTGACCCTGTCAAATACAGGGTGTCCGCAAAGTTGGGGTTTTCCTTTTCAGAAACAACCACCCTTGAAATAACAAAGGTAATGTGTAGTGAAACGAGGGCGACCAAGTAAAAAAAATAAAGGAAAAAGTACTCACTCTCCAGTTGACGAGAAGGGCTAAGTACGTCTCTGCCCGAAATCATACCGCTCCAACAGAAAATGAAATCAGCTGATGCGCTACCGAGCAGACGCAGGCAAACAAGGAAGGCAAAATGTTGCGTAAAAAGTCTAGGTATTGCATCCCGTCCAATCGATTTGGGAGAATAAATGGTCCAATGAGCATACCGTTCACCATGCCAGCCCAAACATTCACCGAAAATGTTTGTTGAAAATGTGCCCGACGGACAGCGTGCGGATTTTCTACTGACCAAACATGAGTGTTGCGAAAGTTATTCACCTCATTACGCGTGAACATAGATTCGTCTGTCACCAATATGCACTTCAAAAAGTCCGGATTATTGTCATGTTGATGCAACAACCACTCACAAAACCGCACTCTTGCTGGAAAATCGTCAGGTTAAAGGGCTTGTACACGTTGGACGTGAAACGGATACAGCCCCTCTTCACGCAGCGTTTGTCACACTTTAGTTTTTGATACTTGCACTTCTATAGCCACGCCTCTAGTGCTTGTTGAGGGATTCTCGTCTACGCGATTACCTCTACACGCGTGACCGTAACCGTCAGTTGAAGGTTGCATACTGACCTGACACACTGACCCCGACCCAGTTCTGTCGTCGGGTTGAGCTAGTGTCCTAGTACCACTCGGGGATGTCGCGGCTACAGGACGGTATTCAGATATTTTTGATGTTGCAGAGCCTTTTATCTCGGTTCCCTTAAGACATTGGTGTATATGGTACTAAGCAAAATTGCTTATGTTTTCAAGATCTACACGTCGTGAAAAGGAAAACCCCAACTTTATGTATCACATATCGTTTATTCTTGTGACATAATCAATATGAAAACAAAAAAGCTATTTTTCTTAGTTGACACTGAACATCAATCACCCCGCTTCAGAGGTAGTTCTTCTCGGTGATTTCAATGCCCATAATGAGCTTTGGTTGGGCTCAAACAAGACCGATGCAGCAGGTCGTGCAGTCGAAGCGTTCGCTCTTACTCAAGGGCTGACCCAGCTGGTGACGAGCCCTACTTTTTTCCCCCGCGTCTCGTCACACGCCAGTAGATTGCTGGATCTCTTTCTGACCACGCATCCTGTCCCTTAGCAGCACTGCTGTCTTGTCCCCCCTGGGTAACTCAGACCAACGGTGTTGTGGAGGTTAGGTTTCGGTCAGAACCCGCTGTGACAACAGAAACTCGTACAGGCCGCAAAACTTGGCATTACGGACATGCCGACTGGGAGGGGCTCAGGGACTTCTTATCTAGCTTTCCTTGGAAAGATGTCTGTTTCACTGATGCGGATGCGTCGGATGTCTGTTCTTCGATAACCGAAATTATCCACGTCGGAATGGAGGAATACATCCCTCACACAGTGAAAGTGCCTAGACCAGGTTCCAACGGCTGGTTTAACAAATCGTGTGACGCTGCTCGCCAGCAGAAGATCAAGGCACACAGAACCTTCTTACAAAACCCCACTGTAGAGAACAAACAAGCCGACGTTGAGTTCAGAAACAAATGTAAAGAAGCGGTTCGCAATGCCAAAAACCAGCACGATATAAAAGTTAGGCACAGGGTAATGTCGCAGCGCAATGGCAGTCGGTATTTCTGGACGCTGGCCAAGCAGATTGAAAGGAACTTCTCACACAGTAGCCTTCCACCACTTACGTTTCAGGATGGAACTGTTGTATTCAACTCAAAGGCCAAAGTGCTAGCCAAGATCTTTGCTGCCAACTCCACCATGGACATCCCAAGTGTCGTCAATTGAAAGGGGAGGTAACATTCAGGCATAAGACCGTAAGACGAGTGCCCTTGTCGCTCGATATCAACAAAGCTTCTGGTCCGGACTTGATTCCTGCCATTGTACTGAAGAGGTGTGCAGCGGAGCTTGCTCCAGTTCTTTCGCGTCTCTGCCAGATATCTTATGAATCCGGCACGTTCCCAGAAAACTGGAAATTTGCTCATGTCCTTACAACTACAGGTCTATAGCTCTGCTTTCTGTTTTAAGCAAGGTGATGGAGAGGTGCATAAATCGCGAGCTTCTGGACTACCTCGAACGTCACAGCTTGATTAGCGGCAGGCAGTGTGGTTTTCTCTTCCGTGATGCCGCTTCGCGATGTGCCTGCCAGGCAGACCTGCCTGACTTTGGCGTCCCATCCTAACCGTGTCGAACTTCGTACATCCAGAACTGGCCGATACTACCACTCCTTTGTCCCGAGGGTGTCGAGATTGTGGAACAATCTACAAGAGGAAGCTTTTCCCAGTTTTACTAACCTTAGGCAGTTCAAAAATCGTATTAACAAAATTTCTTTGGGATCATCATAGCAGCCGCGGTGTTCCCGCATTTAGGCTTCTACCTGTGCGGCTGCTTGGATATATATATATATATATATAAAAACCCGATGTATTATAAGCATTTTTTTACTACTAGGAATTACCAAATTTAATTTGTTTAGATCTTAAAATATAGGATATATGATAATTTCCTTAACAGCCGACAACACGGTCAAATAAATCCGACGCGTGGTCTGCTTCACAGAACGATACGCACGAGAGACATGTTACCGCTACATGAAAGATTCCGACAAAAATCAAAAATAGATTCTGTATTTACTCTAATTATACAAGAAAATAATCATATAGTTAGTGATATTCAAAAATGAATAAAATGGTTAATACCAGTGACAATTCTGTGCCCAACAAACCAAAGAAGCGCAAAATGAATGCACGTATTCATTATTTACCTAGGTTTTTTTATTGTCATTGTTTAACTAGAGCAGACATTTAACTTCTCCTTAGAGGAATGCCGTAAATAATGTGGATTTCATAAGTTAGTAGTGAGAAACACACATACAATGGCTATCCTTGGTAAGAGCACTAAGTACCTAGACTGTGTTAGCAGTTGTAGAAAAAAGAATTGGATAAGTAATATTTTTCAGCTGCGCATAAACTGAAACACTGCGATCATATCTTATTTTGGAATTTAAAATTTACACATCACACATGAAGCTTTTGTTAAATGGCAGTAAAAGTGGTTAAATTTTTTTTGAATATCTACATGCTCAAAACAATCTCTTACCGTTCCTCTATCAATGATTGGCAATCGTTTTCCTCAAACAGACCACTAGCAGTGACATCGCAATTGGTTACTCTGAAGGGACAAACAAAAAACAAACAGATAAAAAATAACAAAAAGAATGTAATTGTAGTATGTCAGAATATGACAACTAAAAATCTTTTCAATGTGAACATAAAATCAATTTGTATATTTTGTATGTCCATTCAGGTTTAAAATAAGATATTTGAACGATCAAATCAGGAGGTATTTTATCGAATATTGGTAACAAAAACATTGTTACATATACATACATCCACAAAACGGACTGGCCTTGGGAAAATTCTGATCTTGTGAAAAAAGGCCCTGACAGTTTCAAATGTTACCTAGGTAATGGTATAATACATTACACAAATAGTATCAAATCAAAACTGTCACAATTGATTATTCAATATGAATTTGCCTCTCAAATCATAGATTGCTTTGAAGTGTCAATAATAAATTCCTATAGTTTCTGAAATATATTCTTTACCTTTTGGTCAAGATCAATTTGCAGATAACTTTGAAGCATCTAAGGATTTGATTTAGTTCCCCTAGTCCCAAAACTTAACCTTCAGGTACTCTACATTTTGCAAGCAATATATTATTCTGAAATTTCCAAATAATTGAACCAGACATAAGTTAGGTCAACAGAAAACACTGTCACAAGAATAATAATAGGTATGTCACAAATAGCCTCTAGGTTAATCCTATCTGAAACAAAATCTACTTTAACTGGGATCTTAACATACTATTGTAAAATTTGCAAAAACAATTAAACCCAGTTAGGTCTTGAGTTTTGCTTCTGAATCAAGTGGTTATTATGTCCTGAACTCAAAGTATTGTGAATTCTAATTGTACTGATCAACAAGTCTGTAAAATGCTGGTGCAATCAGGGACCAACAGAAAAGAGTAATAAAAATATATAACAAAAACAAATAGCCCCAGAAGTGACCCTTGGGGTACTTCACTATTCAGTGAAAGTTATGATTATTCTAATTCAGTTACAACTATAATGTTTACAAATATGAAGTGTCAGAGATTTTACATTGGGTCTGACAAAATCGGGTCGTTGATCGACAAAGGAAATGTAGGGGGAGATAATAATAATAAAAAGATTAAATTATGTGGAACAAACTACTAAGTGCCTAAAGTGTAAGACTCTTACCTTTCAACAACTGCTTGCTTAGGGGTAACTTCAGGATGCAGTAAGGGTGGCGGGTGCGTTGCTGGCAGTCCCGGGGGCTGAGAGACGACGGGGGGGAGAGTGCCTCCTCCACCGTCGAGGCAACCCCCCGGACCGACGGTGGCTCGATCCAGCGTGGGCCCCCTCGAGATTGACCAAAGTCCTGCTCACTGTAAGACAATTCACATACTACTGAGTCTCACGAATAGGTCCTTGTGTACGAGCTGTACATCACGATTCGAACTGTCCCCGGCGATTGTGCATGACACAAACTAGGGCCTCCTCAGTCACTATGTAACAACCTGAGACCCCTAGAAAATGTTCAAAGTTCTGCTCACCGACTTTCACGAATAGAGGCTCCACATCACAAATCGTTCGGTCCCTGCGATGGGGCACGGCACAATAACAAGGGCCCCTCAGCCACTATGTAACATAACCTCAAACAACGATCGATGCTAACTTGTTACTTTTGCTCTATTATTCATTACATCGCTCGGTCCATGACTGTGTTATATGAGTTTGTGGCTTTTGTTTTTTTTTGTAATGTACAACGCGTAATATTCATATTTCATCGCTCACTAGATGCGATATAAATAATGTAGAAAACTGAGTTCAACGTACTTTTTCTAACATGTTACTCTATTAAAACTGCTTTGGATTGTTTACTTCTTTCGCCACACTACCATTAAAACACCGAAGTACTTATTAATAACTTTATTGAAGCGATTTATCCACCAAGAGTCTTGGAGTGTACGCGTATAGGTTATAAACACAAGTGTCACTGTCTTCTTGAGGCAATGGTGTGATGTAAACAACAATACTTTGCGTTCGTGTGACGGCGCAGAAGGTTTTTCCCGTGTTTCGGAACTTTGCGAGTAGTTTCACAAGCACTTGCGAGCGCGTCACAAACGGCACAGGTTCCGCTCACTCAGAAATCGCGGCCATCTTCGATTGCGTGCCAGTGTAGCCACCTGTCAGGCAACGAATGAATGCAATCGGCCGATGTAGGGAACGATGCGGTGTTGCCGGATCTTCACGCTGCTTGGGCATAGGAACCGGATAGATCACCAATACTCTTGATTCTTCAAAGACCGTTACGTGGGAGGTGACTCTGTTGTGAATAAAAAACATGTAGATCAGTCAAACTAGCATGGTTTGGTGACAAAAGCCACAATTTATGGATATGTGTGAATTGACTGATGTTTTTGCTCTGTTGAACCTAAGGTTTAATCCGGGGGTCGAGGTCTGAAATAATTATTTACATGAGCTCTCATATGGAATATGATATTTCCCTAAGTCATTCAGTTTTAATAACAAATGCGATTATAAAACCGATCATTACGCCTGGAGAGCATTAAAAGCAACTGCAAAACCGTTTAGTTTTTATTTATTGACATGTTCTAAAGAACTGACCGAAAGAGGAAGTATCTCCCTTCCTAATATTTTGTTTTTATCATTTGCCTGGAACGGAACGTTATCATTATTCAACGAATTTCTATCTCGATGGTAACGAATTAAGGATTAGTTGACCTGACTTGATGCTCGTAGCAAAAATTGATTCAATTAGATTCTTATGGGTAGACTATGCCTAAAGCAATAATGCTGCTAACTTTCTTACACCCCATATCAAGAGAGCACAATGATGGTATTTTTGTTAAAAAAATATATTCTTCATTGACATGGAGTAATTGAACCAGTATTCAGAAAATTCTTGTTTCTGTATTGCTTTTATTTACGGTGACGAAGATGAACGTTGAGTTAAGATTCTTATGCGCTGAACAATATAAACACTAAAGCTGATTTTTGCTGGGGAGCCCCCTATGACGATGCTTCCTTGGAGGCCCAGGCGGCAATGTCCATTTTGCCATTACTTAAATCCGCCACTGTGTAAAAAGAATATAAAAACTTGAAGCCATTATATCTAGAAAATACGTGGTTTGACATTGAAAATTATTTGTTGTACGTGAGGGCAGTAATATTATCTCACCATGAAGCATTATATGTGTATTTTTTCACCATTCTCCTCTATCTCCAATCCACATATCATCCTAACTTTGCAAACCTGGATATCTTTTTTAGGAACTCGAGACAGTGAGCCAGGATATAAGGATCGCAGATAATCCATAAGAATGCACAGTTTGGCAACGTTGTCGGGTAGCGACAACGGCCGGTAAACAGTTGACGGTGCGGTGGCTGTATTGGTCGCGTGCGCGGCATCCAGAATGCGTCAGATGCAGAATAGAGATGGCACATGTATATGATTCGGTATTCGATTCAACATCTGTTGTCTAGCTTTCCTTGGAATCGCCTTATTTGTAACTAAGAAGTGAGAGTTCCAGGTGTTGTAAATTATTTATGTTGACACGTCATTTTGTTAAATCAAATCTTTTGGTTATAACATTGCTACTTTTACTGCAGAAAATTGATAGTTTTTTAGAAAAATCGTATATTCAATAAGTAGTCCTCTTAAAATATGAAGTAACATTGAGTATACTACTAATGTGAATATTTAACTTGGAGCCGTATTATCAATAAAAGAGAAATAAGAAGTGAGATACCAAACAGAAATATTGACAGCTTATTTTTTATATAAATTACACGAAATGCTTTCATTGGTCGCATTACTCACTAGAATATTTGGGGCCAGACAACAGAATACTGAATATTTACGATTACTTATTTCTCATCTCTATACGCGAGGATAACGAATGGTCCATAAAGATGACAAAGCGCTGAGGAATTCGAATGTTTAAACCTTGCTTAAACGAGTTGATCTGGTTGGTTGAAAGGCTGACTACATGTGCAATAAGGGTTCCATTCAGATTATTTGCCTCTGGCTTCTGGAATGATGCATGGTTACTCACAACACTCACATAACGCCATATATCTATTAGTCTCTTTTTATACGTATGCTCTTGCTGTGTATTCCTAGTTTTATTAATAAGGAATTATTGGACCTTTCTGTGTGAATGGTTATACCTAATATTACATTAGGTTCTCTATTAAATCGGTAGGTGGTAGAAAAATATTCGTATGATCTTTGATCTGTTGAAAATTTTATCTCATATGAACGGTTTGTTTACTTATCTAATGATGAAAATGGAAATGAGCGTTTTTGAATTTTTATATTTGTATGTATCATTTCTTTACTGCCATCTATCCGGATAAATCATATAAAATGTTTGCGATAAGGAAATCTGTAATGCAGTATAGGGCAGCGAATCGAGTATGTATTCGCTTTCAGTAGATGGCGCTGGTGCATCCCTACATGCCTAAAGAAATCCGTAGCGTTGGAACTGCATTTATGAGACATTGTTAATGCCCCATAGATGACACTGACAAAACTAGTAAGACTGGTTGTCTGAGGTTTATTGATGAAAGCAGGTAAAAGAGGTAGAATACGATAATAATGTTGAAAGTTGTGGCTGAAAGCAAGGGGGACAGCTGCCTCCCTTATCCCTAGCTTGGTAAAAATTAAATGAAGAGAACATCTTTTACAAAAATCAAATTATTCATATACAGGTCCACACGTTTACTAGGATTAGTTGAAATCTACGGATATAAACTTGATTTTGCTAAAAGCTTTATATAAATAATGTTTCAAAATCGAGATCTCGGAAACGGTAAAGCGAATGTCCCACGATCAGTATTTTCTGTGGATTTTTGCGTAACATTGTGCATCAATAATTACTGACGTCCAGGCTACATGGTCAAAAAATGTCACATCTCATGATAAACATATCGACGGATCAAAGTGAATACTGATCTTGTGACATTTGCCTAAACGACACGGAGGACACACTTTATGGGGGCAAGTTGCGTAGGTAAATGAAACAATGGAACTTGCATAGTTTGGAAATTTCCGAATATTTACTCCAAGTCGTTTTTATTTTTTCCTGCTCCGAAGCAAAACATATCAAACATCCACACTGTCTACAAATTTCAAGAAAATTAGACAATAACATTACCACTTTTTCTCTTCTACACCGTGTCATAATTAGAATTTTGATTTGACGTTTCAGCTCTCAGTTTTTTAATTACACCGTTTTCGATGTCTTCATTATACCCTTAAATAATATGAATCAGTTACATCATTAGGTATGTTGCTACTCATTCAATGAGTTTAAACCAGCTATATGAAGTTAGCCACTTTACTGTTAGATACAGTTTTGTATTGATGCGTAACATGTTATCATCTTTGATATTCCATGAAATAAATGACTTAGATAATTTTAAGGCTTACTCAAGAAATGTTTTTTATAATAATATAAATATGACATGGTAAAATATTTGAAATAAGAATTAAAAGCTGTGTGTTATAAGGTATAAGCCTGTGGTGCAGCATATGTGCAATACTACTGCTAACACGGTATACAGGGTATTCCAGAAAAACACGCCAGAGTGATACAGGAGGTAGATTGGCTTCAGATCAATCAGGTAGAACCAACATGACCTTAGTAAAAGTTTTCTAGTTTCCGAGATATTGGCACTTTTAAGTTTTTTGAAAAATCCCTGCTTTCTGGTCCTTTGTGACACTCTGGCGTATTATTTCTGGAACACCCTGTATGTTTTTTTGAAGAATAGACGTCATCTTCATGTCCCGGAAGCGACGTATTATTGACGTCTGTTATAGGAAGTAATTTTTACGTCATTCAACTCATCATTTCATGACCACTTTGGAGCGTCATTTTCACGTGCTTGTGAAACCATATAGTATATGGAGCTATGCACAACAAATAGTATACACTTACATACCCTAGGTATGTAAATGTCCTCCTTTTGCGAGAACGGTTATTTAGTATCAGACAAAAGCCAGGCTGGAAAATGAACTGAAGAGAGAAGAAAATAGTATCAGACCTTTTGGACGATTCTGACCTTGAGATAAAACATCTTGGCGTAGATCAAAATCCAACTGCAGCAGGCATTATCGGATTAGATAAATATTTTTATGAACCGCCTTTACAAATGAAGTGGTAGCAAAATCTGTCTCAGATTAGTTGAGATGGCTAAAAAACGTTTGTATCTGCCATCTGTGCCATGCGAGCGACTTTTTTCGAAGGCTGAGCAGGCAGTCTTGTCTGCAGAAATGGACCAGAAGCCAAATTTAAAAAATAATTTTGGAAGTTTGTAGTTAATTTACATTTTCATTTTAGTATTGTTTTAATTTCTTCATGAGCCGCAATGCGTCACTTTTTTTTATAAAAGTTAGCCAATCTTTATTTTTTTTCAGTCTTTATAACTAATAGCATTTATCATCTTTCTCGTAATTCCTGGGTATCCAGTTATACTTACGGTTGTATTCCGAGTCATTTCTCCTGCCTATCTCGTTCTCGTTAGTTCACTCACAACTAGTTTGATTGCATCATCGAGATCCTATACCACCCATTCGTAGTGAACGAGTGTACGAGTTTTTCAAGGAATGCTGAACTAGTTCACTTAGTGAAATCATAAGAATCTTTCGATGAACTAGTTCGTTCACGAACTACACACAACTATTTAGAATAGTATTTAGATGCTTTGTGGTAACATTTTTTAGTCAGAGCAATATCATTTTTCAGATAAAATAAATTAAAAGACTGACAAGTTCAAAATCCTCCGTACCTCAGTCCTTTCTCACAAAAATGTTTCCTTAGTTGTTTTTGAATTTTTTTCGTAGTAATAAAAATTCGATAAAGCACGGTCGAGCCGTACTTAGCTTTCTGTTTTATTTATTCATAATTTAGCGATTATTTAGCTCAGAGTTCCCCAAACTTTTTTGTGTCGTAGACCCCTTGCCATGTTTTTCCGTATTGGGTAGACCCCCTACTTACCTGATATTGATTTCCTGTAAATTTCTAACTGCAGTGAAGTTTAGTCTTAAAATCTTAAAGTAAAAACACATGTTAATTTATACATTTATTAATTGAATTTAAATTAAAACTACTCAAAATAAAATTTTGTATCTGTTATGTAAAATATACGTAACATTAAATAAACAGGTGTCTGACCAATAAGTGTCCGCATTGGGAATAAGTGCCCGCATTGGAAAAAAATAAGAGGGATAAAATAAAAAAAAGTGAAAAATAATAAAAAAAAGTTTTTTACTTAAAATAGTACAATAAGCGAGTTCGTTTATTAATTATAACATACACGTATGTTCTTCAATAATTTCACTGTTAGTTTTATTAAATTCCGCTTCTTATACGTTTAAGTTATCTAAAAATAGGCAAAAAATTAACGAATTTTAGTGTGTACCTATCCTTGAATTTTCAGAGTAATTTTTAAAAAAATATTTTCTATAAAGGGGGGTTCTTTAAAAAAATCAATGCGGGCACTTATTCTCAATGCGGGCATTTATTGGCCAGACACCAATAAACATAAAATAAACTATAAATAAAATAACATAAGCAATAAGTCAATATTTTTAGTGAGAAGGATGAACCTGATGCTTTAATAATAAATTATCAACATTTGGCGTGAATTTTGTAAGGGTTAATCTTAAATCTCCTCGGCTAATGATGTCCAGTCTGTTTCTTTTTTTCGTTGGGAGATTGGTAACAGCGCTGAACCCCCTTTCCACTAGGTATGACGATGGAAAGGAAATTAAAAATTTCCTCGCTATATTCCATAATACGGGATAAGTAACGGGTATGTTGTTTTGCAGCCAGAATTGCTGATATCCGTTTTTATACTGAACCTTAAGTTCTTCGTTTGTACTTAGTTCAGTCAGTTCCTCTTGTATTACGACAATCGTTTCTTCTATGTCATCATATGGATTAATTATCCACGGTGGTATTACCATAGTCAAAATATCCTCAAACTCAGATTCAAAATCTGAATAGAGGGCATTTAAATGTTGAACGTAAGTTGAAACGTCGTCTTCCTGGCAGCTTGTCTGTGACAAATTGGGGAACTGAGAAAATTCGCCCCGTCCAATATTTTGCTTCATTAGTTTAACTCTGGCAAGAAACGCTGATAAGATGGACTTTGTTTTAATCAAATTTAAACTGTCGCCTTGTAATTGCAAATTAACCATATTAAATTTTGTAAACAAATCTGTTAAATAAGCGATGTCTGTTTTCCTCTTCATTAAATTTTCTTTTAAAATTTTATCTTTAGTATCCAGAAATTCTAAAATAGTCTCAAAAAGTGCAAAAAATCTTGTCAAACATAAGCCTTCCGACAGCCAGCATACTTCAGTGTGAAGGAGTAATTGATGAAAGTGTTCGTCATTTTCTTCACAAAACTACGCAAATAACCCAGTATTCAACGCGTTGCTTCCGATTCGGTTTAATGCATCAATGACTAAATGAAGTGATTCATGCAATCTAACACTCAAATTTTTAGCAACTAAATATTGTCGATGGATGACGCAATGTATTGTTAACACCCCTGACACATTTTGTTTTAAATAGCTTATAAATCCACGATAACGTCCAACCATGGCAGGTGCTCCATCTGTAGCTACTGATATTATATTTGATAAAGGAATTGCTTTTTCAATGAAGTAATCCTTCAAAACATGAAATATTGATTCACCTTTAGTGTCGGTTATCAAAGTTCTTGCGAAGAGCAGTTCTTCGTAGATTTCTTGATTCATAATAAAACGAACATATGCCAATAATAATGCTGCATTATCAGGTAAAGTTGACTGATCCAGTTGTATAGAGAAATGGGTCGTTTGCAAATAATTACATAAGAAGCTTTCCATATCAGAATTCATTTCATCAATACGTCTTTCAACAGTATTGTTGCTTAAGGGAATTCTTTTAATGATATCAGATGCAGGTTTGTGTAAAACAGTTTTTAAAACCTCTTCAACGGCTGGCAAAATTAACTTCTCTCCGATAGTATGCGGTTTTCCGGATTTTGCTATAAGTAACGAGATATTGTAAGACGCCCGCAAACCATCATCATTTTTTTGTGACGACGAAGCGAACATTCTGTCCAGTGTAGGTCTATTCTGAAATTTATCTTTGAGTGTTTGAAAGTATTTCAAATCTTTATCTGTGTTATCAGGGTGGCATCTTCTCAGATGATCTTGCAGTTTAGATGGTTTCATAGCGTCATTGCCCAAAACTTTGTTGCATAAAAGGCACATAGGCGATTGTTTGTCCGGCAATGATGGAATGAAGCCAAATTTCAAATAATCAACACTGTACTTACTGTCTACATTGCTTTTTAGATTCGGACATGGCATCAGTCATCTGTGGGCAAAATTAAATTATTTAAATAAGCAGCTGTATATTAAAAATATTTTTTGATTTTTCCGAAAACATCCCATAATTCGAAAATCTTCTTGCAACAATTAGCTCGAATTACGGAGATTGCACTGTTATTATATTACCGATTGCTAAAACTTTCAAAAAGAAACTATTGAGGAGTACTCGTGTAATTCTGCATGATTGAATATTTAACTACTAATAACTAAAGTCATGATAGGCGTAATTTATCTATCTTTGCTAACTACGAGTACAAAACTAAAATTTAATAAAAAATAATGTACTTACTTTTCTCCAGCACTCTCATACAAAATAACACTGACTCACTATAATTTGTGTGATATACTATCTGATTATATTTTTTAAAATATTTTCTTAGCACTTTCCTTTTCAAGATTCAGGAAACGAATAAACATATTTGTCCCACATTCGTATTCATAGAGTGACGAATTGAACAAGTCAGTGCAAGGTAGCGAAGCTCTGAAACTGCGACTTACACAATTTTATAAACATATATAATAATTTTTTTACTTCATAGGTACTTTTATAAATAATGTATATGTTTTGATATTATAAGATAGTATGATGTAAGTAAATAGGTACTATCAGTGTATGTGTTGAGATCCACTATCGTGGACCCCCATATTCATTTCATGAACCCCCAAATTATTTTTTTTTTCGCTGACGTAGACCCCTTGCAGGTTGTCATATACCCCTAGGGGTCGATATAGACCACTTTGGGAATCAATGATTTAGCTGCTAGCTTCTAATTTCCCTCGTACCGACGTACCTGACGAGGTACTTCGCGCATAGTATCACGCGGCGCGGTACTCTTTCCGCTCTGCTAATCAACACTTCCTTCCTGCCTGGCGAACACCGTGTGGCAGCAGGTTTTCCTGCACAGCGCCATCGGCAGTCCTGCTACTGCACCGTTCTGCGACTAGCCGCGCATTCTATTGGCCCTTCTCAATTGTCTCTAAAATGATTCATTTTTTATATCACTGAGTGAATGAATCGTGAGGTGGAGTCGTTAAATACTAAATTGGACCTAGTTGGCTTAGACCTATGACGTGACGTAGCGTGTGTGATCGTGTTTTGTTCCGGTTTTTCCGTCGGCTGTTTTCGAATTTTCGAAATGGTGTCCTTGGTGGGCAGCAAGATTATATTGGCTGTTTTTAATTTTCTGTTATTGGTAAGTTAACGTTGCCATAATGAAAAGTAAAACATGAAAATCTTTTCACACCTCAGAAATTTGAAAAAGGAAAAATATTTTTCAGGAATTCAAAAAACAAAGTTTGACGTGGTTCTGAAATTTGTCGCCTTTCACACAATACTCTTCCGTTACTACACCGATTTTCGAAACCCTCAAAGATTTTTCGGCATTAGCATGCGTATTGTGTAAAATTTATTCAAAATGTGAACAGTACTTTCTAAATTATAGAAGGCCAAGATATTAAGGATTACCGGACGAAAAACGTAATAGGACTTCATTGTGTGGCCGGGTCAAAACCACATATACCGGGTGTTTCAAATTTGACGCTCAATAATGGGATCCCGGAAACGGTAACAGATACAAGGTTGCTTAACAGGAGCAAAGTTGCTTATTTAGGTAACTAACAAGATGCCGCTCAGAAACGAAATTCAAAGTACTTCCGGATAGAGACGAGAAAATCGAATTTTCCTAAAATCGATTTAATTTTTCTTGACATAATTTGTAGTGGGATATTAAAATAAAATGCACATTAACATTGCCACTTTTCCTCCTCTAGATGACATAATTAGAATTTCAATATGAGATTCCGCATCTTGCCGTCCATCATCAACTTTATTTTTACTTAAGGACGCCACATTGGACTTTTGCGCAGATGAATAGAGTTTTTGTTGTTTCTAGTTAAAAAAACAGAAGTTCCTGGGTAGGCCTTGAAATTATCAGATAGTCATTTGTTTCGTACAGCAGACCATACCTCAAACATAGGAGGACTGAGAAGAAGACAAATAGATCAAGCAGTGAACAATGTACACAGAATAACGGACAACATTGTGAACATCTGCTATGACTTATCTCTATTTATGATTATTATTGTTATTGCCATCACATAAAAATAAAATTTTCAGTTTGTGTTCAGATTTCACCCATACTTTTATTTCCTCATAATTTTCATCCAACAACAAATTCACGGTCAACTAAGAAAATACGTCGCTGAAGTTAGGACCGAAAAGTCCATTTAAATGTAGAAAATTACAATAAAGCGTTCATATGAAAAAATTAAGTTGGTGATGGAAGTCGAAAGAAGAAACGTCTAAGTGAACATTTGACTACGCGATCTTGTAGAGGCGAATAAGTAACAATGACAAAATGCAATTTATTTTGAAATCACATCTCAAATAAACCTAGGAAAAAATAAAAGTTTAAAGTAATAAATCTGGTGTACAAAACAAATGACCATCTGGTAATTTCAAGACCTACCTAGGAATTAGGTTTGGTATGGTCGACAAGAGACGAAACGTCATATTGAAATGCTATTTATGCCTAAAAAAGTGGCAATGTTAATGTGCAATTTATTTTGAAATCACGCTATAAAGTCATGAAAAAATTTTAACGTTTTTGGAAAAATTCGTTTTTCCGTCTCTCTCAGGAACTACTTTGAATTTCGAAACTTTCTAAGCGGCATTTGGTTGATTACCTAAAACGCAACTTTGCCCCATTTAAGCGACTTCGCATCTCTTACAGTTTTCGAGATCCCAATGTAATATAAGTACGTTTCAAGAGTTATTATGATCAGTTATCAAACATAGTTGTGAAAAAATTTTACACCAGAGCTCCGAAGATCTTTATTCAATGAAAAGTCCAAAGAGTGCACTAATGGTTCTGACTAAAACCTACGTCTTTTTGATGCCATTGCACTACATGGAAATATTACTAGAAGTTATTTCGAAGGCATGGAAACTATACAGTCAATCTACTTGATACCTTTTTCACGAGTAATTTGGTACACCAGAATAGTTGCTAGTTGGCTCCACTTTCCTCAGAATCCTATTCTGCTTTTTGCAGTCGACATTTTTCAACAGTACAATTAGATAATTTTCAGTTCAATTCTCATTATAATCTCATTGTTTTAGGTAGAAATGTCTTATAATTTCTAACGTTTTTACAACTAAACAATAGTCATATATATTTACTTTCAGTGATTCTGGCTCGCCATTTCGCTTACATTTCGATAAAACCTTGTACTTCATTAGGTTCTCAAATATTTAATCAGCAAAAAAAATTATTTATTTATTTTGAATTCTTACATTTTGAATGATGCCTCTTTTCAGCTATCTATTGATACCTAGTTGCTTAGCGAATAATACGAAAACAATATATTGTATGAACTATTTACAGATATGATTCCATATGATTAAATTTCTCTTTTATTTGATTATAATTTGCAGAGGTTGCCTTACGTTACGTATTTTTACGCAAGCTGTATATAAAAACATTGATGCGTTAAACTGTGAAAGTAAACATAAAAGCATATTTAAATATATTTTTCCGATAGGTAGTTCAAAATATGTTTTTCTGAACATATCATAGGGCTTTGGAAAGTTCATTGAAAAAATATACCTACAAGGTCGCGTGGTGTCTCCATATTGTAATTATTTTAAGTGTGACTTTTATGTCAAAATATACTATTTATTCATCGATTTTATCCCGGTTTTCAACATTTTAACTTGATTTGTTCAAAAATAAGGAATCTTTATGTAAATCACTGTACAGGATGTTACTTAACGGTAGGTATGTAATTACAACGGCGCATTTCTGAACCACATTTAACTAGAAAAGCTCATATAAACATGTGTCTCAAATAATCTTGTTTTCAACGTACAGGGTGATACAGCTTAAAAATGGTTTCTTGCATATATCCCAACGATTCTTGTGCCGATATTGTTGGGTGTTCATTGCAATAAGACGTTGAGTTAGCACCTACTTACAACAATCTTAACAAAATTATGTATGCCTGTGACTATTTAAAAAAATGTATATTTTTTCAGATTAAGCAGCTAATCATACCATTTTTTTGTCTCTTGCTATCCCTTCTCATCTTACTTAATTTTCTAGGAAATTGTAATGAATTACATATTGACAAATTTGAAAAAAAAATTCCTCAAATTTGATCTTTGCTAATATTGTGTCCCAAAGTACTCCATCACCAGATGTCGTAGACAATTCCCGCCTTGGTTTAATGGTACCATAATAAAGGATATCAGAACTAAGGAGATATTGTTTAGGAGGTTAAAGTTAAATTCTGATGAAATGACCTTGCATGATTTCAAAGCTTTGAGACTCAAAATTAAACAGGATATCGATATTGCTTATAAAGACTATGTAAAAAAAGCTGAAGATGATATAAAGCGAGACCCGTCAAAGTTTTGGTCATTTGTCAACAGCAGAAGAGGTCATGGCTCTATACATAAGAATATGACTTAACGGTTTGGATATAAGTGAGCCTCAAGATATTCTAAACAGCTTTGCTGACTTTTTCAGTAAATCTTTTATTGCTAGCTCAAGTGGCAAAACCAACTCCACTCAGTCAACTGGAAGTAGTCCTTTAACAGTGACTGAATTTAATGTGAATGAGGTTTATGATGCCTTGAGAAGACTACAGCCTAAATTAACTTCTGGTCCAGATGGCATTCCGGCTTTTATATTGTAAGACTGTGCATCTGTATTTGCGAAGCCTTTAGCAACGATATTCAACTTATCGCTGCAAAATGGTAAATATCCATCATCGTGGATCAAGTGTCAAAAGTTTGTCCTGTTTTTAAAAATAAGGGTAACAAGAGCGATATGGAGAATTATAGACAAATCACGATAATTAACAACTTTTCAAAGGTTTTTGAGTTTCTTATATATGATGCAGTTTACTGGCATGTGCATAATACTTTATCAACTCAACAGCATGGCTTCTGGATAGACAAACTCGAAAATATCCAACGGCGTTTTTTCAAGTACCTTTACTTTAAGGAAAATGGCATCTACCCACCGATTGGCTATCCACAAGAGTCTTTAGAAGAAGCTTTCGATTTTCAAAGTCGAAGCGTGATAAGTGCAGCGTTAAGTTCGTGACTGATATATTGCACAATCGTATAATAAATAAATAAATAAATAAATAAATAAATAAATAAATAAATAAATAAATAAATAAATAAATAAATAAATAAATAAATAAATAAATAAATAAATAAATAAATAATAATAAATAAATAAATAAATAAATAAATAAATAAATAAATAAATAAATAAATAAATAAATAAATAAATAAATAAATATTGTTCTATTGTCACACACATACATATTTTTTACTTCCCGTGATAGTTTGCTACTATTTTTCCTCTGTCAAAAATCTATGTTTTTACACTTTGACCCTCTGTATATTGAAAACTACACACGTTTATATAAACTTTTCTACTTGAATTTGGTTCAAAAATGTGCTTAGTACCTAATTACGGCCTATCATTATAAACACGATCAATTTGATCACGTTTATTCCATTCAATTGAGGATCGAACAAGCCCCAAATCGTGTACAGTGCTCGTCACTCTCTGTAACGTTTCATTCTCAATTTTTGAGGAAATATAGGCCTCAAAGATCAGATGAACCACACCTATGGAAGATTGTAAGACCAAATGTAGAGAAAGCCTCAGAAGCAAATATTCGTCGCTTTATTCCGAATATCTTGTCATATTATCTGAAAGGTGATCAGAAATGAGTTTCTAAGATTGCCTGAAAACAGTAACTGCATAGCATTAGCTCACTGTTATTCCATTTTAAAGATGTGCCCCACTAAACAACTGGTGCTTTCGAAGTTTTTTGGAACAGTTTACATCTAACTGTTTTTAACCACGTAACTTTAGTAATACCACCTCCAAATGCTGTTCATAAGATGGTTCCTTAAATCAAAAGACCCCAACTTTCACGGTTAATGATAAAAAATTACAAGGTATTGTAGCAATTGATCACGATATAATGATACAGGTTCCTTAATTGACACAACAAAATGAGACATGGAGACCTTATAATGGTTTAATTGGAGCTTGTTAAGAAAAAATGTTCATATGTATTAATTACATACTCTCGTGCTGTGACTACGAAAGTAAGTAATAGGATGATGGTATGAAGAAATTTCTTTAATCTTCATGAACAGTGCGTGTCTTCTTAGATAGGTAGAGTTTAATTAACCTTCTTGATACGAGGGCTTTAAGTGGAAGCTAAGCTCAAGTACACTTCCGTTTTCAAACAATTACTGGACACATTCTCTTATAAGTGTTTATTATGTAACAGTGTATTCTGTCATTTCATATTATACTCGTATTGTTTTCTGGGGGCAAGCGGGAGAGCTCCAGCACACTTTTATATTGCAGAAAAGAATTAATGCTCAAACGTTCAAATTACTTCACCAGTCGTGCTGTAGAACTTTCAAGTATCATAAATTATTAAAAGTAGCCTGTATTTACATCCTTAAAGTTTTAGTTCACACTTTTTGTAATAAAAACAAGTTAGCGAGACGCTGTGACAAGCATAACTATTAGGTATAGCAGAAAAAAGAACAATGTGGTTACAAATAGGTTTTATCACTCTTTTTGCAAAAAACTCCAGTTTACGCTGGTAGCTATCTCTTCAACTTGCTTCCAACACACATAAAGGAAACTTCATCTCTTTGTAGTTTCAAAAGGAAGGTAAAGAAAATTGAAAAGGTAATTGCTTTTACACCGTTGAAGAGTTAGTGTATTTTTTATTAATCACACTAGGGACTGTTGTATTTTTACTATATTATTGTCGTAACTTTGTTGTCAATGTCATCTTCGGATAATTTGACAAATAAAGACTATTTGTATTTCTTTTGGTATAATGGCATGGACCCCCGCGAGTGCCTAGGGGGCGGTGGCCACCATGAGAATCCAATTGGAGCTTATAATTTGCATATTTAGCATGATTTTGTGTAGAATTTTGGAGATTCTTAGCATGTGCTCCCCTTAGAGAGAGAGAGAGAGAGAGAGAGAGAGAGAGAGAGACTTTTTAACACGTTTCTCTTGCTTCCTTCTCTCGTATTGTCTTTCAGAAAGCAGATTACGTCTGGCAACCTTGAGATCTTGGACTATATGAATTTTTTGAGAGAGGCTAGTTTGTCCCACTTTTCTTTCAGGGGATACTACTGCGACATATTATGAGATTACTCCACGTTAGATAAACAAAAACAAAAAAGTTTTTATTCAATGTGTTATAAATCGGTGTTACTCTACTTGTCGTCGCTCCCATTGCATAAGGACGTATCTCGAAAACTTTAACTTTTCAGGGGGCGCTTTTAAAGCTTTGTTTTATGCTTAGGCTGGAGGTAGATGTAATGTATTTGCAGCATTTTTCATGTGGTCCAGGCAGCAGATATTGTATGCTTCTCAATCATCATATTACTATTTGAATGATATAGTTTTGATAACAATGCATGAAAACCCCCAGTCTTCATTATGTGCCTTCTATGATTTCTCCAAAGCGTTTTATGCATCTCACAATACATATTACTCAATAAATTAGACGCATATGGCTTCACCACAAGCAGCATCAAGCTGATTAAATCATATCTTATAGAGACATAGCAATATGTGTTCTTGAATGGAAAGCACCAGACTTCATGCGTTCTGGTGTTCCTCAGGGCTCTATAATAGGTCCCACATTATTTCTTATTCACATAAATGACATTGAGAACTGTGAGCCTGATTCAAAATTTATTCTGTACGCAGATAATACGACCAGAATGACCCAATTAGATGACATAGCTATAGCCTACAACAGCCAGCGAAATATTTGTGGTGTTTGGCAAATGCTGATAAAACAACACTTTCGAACAAAAATATGAGTACCCAAATATCTAGTAGTAATAGGAATGTCGAATTTCTTAGTATCCATCTTCATACACAAATGGCATCGGAACATCATGTGTGTTTTCTAATGAGGAATTTATCTCAAATGGTAAGCCTAATAACGCTGTTGACTTGCTACTAGGGTTATTTTCACTCCAAAATGAGCTATGCTGTTTTCAATCGGGGTCACTCATCCCATTCCATACACGTTTTTGGACTTCAAAGGAGACGCATCGGAGTTGTTGCTAATCTAGGGTATAGAGATTCTTTTAGGGAAGCTTTCGTTTCGTCCGGCGTTGTGACATTTCCATGTGTTTTTTGTTATCCTAGAAAGTCTCAGTTATATACAGAATTAATCACAAGATGTATGCAAACACGCAGATTTCCACAGCTGCAATACAAGAATGAACATGTGAGTCTGACATCTGAAAATGTACGCAATTACTACTGCATAGTTTTTCCGATGTGATCCTACTTAAAATAAAGGAATTAGAAACCAGCATATTTATGAAAAAAATTAAAAAATATTTAATTACCAAATGCTTTTCTCATTTGAGGAGTACCTCAACAATAATTTCAGTGATCTAATGACTTGTGTGTAGGTGTGTGTATTGTTTTAATGAGTATTTAATCTGTATTTTATCTACTACTAATGATTTTCTTCTGAACTGAAAATAACATACTCTTTTGATATTAACAGTGTATAACAAACAGCACACACACAACGTATCAATACATAAATTTATAATTTTTGAGTTAGGTTAACACAATTCGTATGAGATGCTCCTGTAAAAGCGCGATGGTCAGTATGGTTTCGTCTAAAAAAGGCCGAAATACGACTGTATGGCTTAGGACAATCGCATCAACAAATCAGCGTATATCGGAATATGCCTTTATTTAAGGATGATTTCTGACTTAAAATGAGATACGTTTTCATGTAGATAATAGCGACTTCTAGTGGTAGCAGAGATTCGCCCTTTTGTCAGTTGGTGAGCAGGAGTTATGTGATGCGCCAAATCTATAAATATCTCAGTTTAACGAAAAAGTGGGTTACTATACGCAAGGGGAGCGTCGATATATCTGTCACGTAATTGCTTTGAACGAATTTTTTACAATAAGCCGAACATTGTCTCTACATACTGATGATAGTGCATGGGAAGTACAGAGTCAATCTACTTGACGCTTTTTTTTTTCTTATCTTAGGCATGCGGTTTCACACTAGTAACAGGAGGTATGCTCATCCTCTTCGACTCGGAAAGAGTGCAACTGTCACGACTGTTGACAGTGGGGTACTTATCAACCCTCCCTCACCCATTGCTGCATTATGTATCCATTGGAGCGGCCTTGCTTGGTCTTCTGCTGGCTGGAACTGGGATTTTAGGATGCTGGGCAGCCTGCATGCATAGCTATTGCATGCTTACGTTCGTAAGTGTGATTTGATATGAGATAGATACTTCTTGAAGGTCGGGCTTGTTAGAATATTTAGTTCTCGACTTTACTAAAGTCTTCCAGTAAATGAAAACTGAAAAGCTCATTACCTATTAGCCAGCCCGTTAGTTGAACAAAAAGAAGTGAAGTATGTCACTTGCAGAAAACAAGTTAATACTAACTATGAAGGAGAATAATAAGAATAAACCTCACATTTTTTCTCATAATACCATATTTTAAGCAGGTACAAATTTGATTGAAACACTTTTTTCGAACGGGTTAAAAAAATCGGGCAACGTTTTTCTAGGATTCTTGTGCCATTTTGAACAAAAAAGTACCTTAGTGAGTATTGAATGGTTAAAAAATCCTAAAATGGTCTTTTCCAATGCTTAAAAACCGTTAAATATTTTTTGAGGTTGCATATGGCCCATAGTTTAGAAGCTGGCATTTCACTTGTGTCTTCCTATAATTTGCAGTACTTGCTAATCATAGTGATAGCTCTAGTTGGAGAATGTGCCATATACATTGTAGCTTGGCTGTGGCCAAACTGTATGGGCTTGGGGCCCGCTACAGACGAGCTTGTCAAAGCTCTTCAAAGGAATTATGGGGTGAGCGGTCAGGAACATTTTACAGTGGCTGTGGATTTAGCACAAACTATGGTAAGTCTAAAATCACTTACAAGGTAAGAAAAGTTAATTTTGATAGTCTGAAAATGTTCTTGCCACATGGACTTTGATGAGCTTTCACTCACTATATCGTAATAAACTAGGATCAGCCAATTCAATTTCAAACCCTTATTTTATGCAAGGTTTCTAAAAAGTGAGGGTACATCAAAATATCTGGAAAAATACGTTTCCTAGAAAAATGTTTCAGAACGAAGTTGCAAGGTTTGAAATCTTGAAGGTTATAGTCAAGGTCACGTTCAAGGTCACCATTAGATGACCCTTTTCAAACCTTACACCTTTGTTCCACAACATTTTTCTTTATTAAATATGTTTTTCGAGATATCTCGATGTATGGTTTATCTGAAGTCACTTGAAATAGCATAAACACCTTTGGTCGGCGCGTCCTTTGTAATTTCATGACGTATCATAGGCGTGCGGTCAATTATTTAGAACGATAATAATAATGTTTTTATATCACAATAAATGGATTTTACTATCTTCTTATTTTTTTGATTTGGGATAAAAAATACTTATATTGGGAGTTTAATTTATGTTGACTGAAAGTTAAGAAATGGAAAAATTACAGAATTCCAACGTTTGACATAGGCAAATATTTACATAGCAGGTAGGTATATAAAAAGGTATATAAAGACTTACATTATAGGTATTTATATATCATCCTCGCCTTCGGAGCTGTCGCTAGAGTCATCTTGTAGAGGAATTACAACGGGATTTACAGGAGGCAAAACACAATATTCATTTTCTTTTTCAATAATATGCCTAGAACACTGCTTCCATAGGTATGTGGCAGCAATATGAGATTCACTTAATTGAGGGGTCTGATTATGTTTTCTTACTTTTTTTTTAAAGCAGCCCAGACCAACTCAATCGGGTTAAAAATGCAGTAATAGGGAGGTAGACGTAATACTTCATGGCCATTTTGCTGAAGCAGATTGTCAACAACATACTCTTTTTCAAATTTTTGTCTTTTAATAAGATCCAATAATATGGCTTCGGTTGACCTTTGTGGTATTTCCATTCCCTTATCCTTCATAAAATCAATAATGTCTTGTTTTTTGTGCCTGTATTCGGAATTTTGTTTTTCTGTCGGGAATGGTATGGCGCATTGTCCATAATAATCACTGAATTTGGGGAAATGTTTGGTATTAACTGCTGCTCTATCCACTTTTCAAATAAGTCGGAGGTCATGTCCTCATGATAGTCGGCACATGATTCTTTGATATTTTTGGCAGATAACAGCAAGGCATTAGGTATAAATCCATTTTCACTGCCAGCATGGAGAATAATGATTCGTTTTCCACGGTTGCATGGTGCATTTAAAATGCACTTGTTGCTGTCGTCAACCCAGCCGTACTGCACAACATCATGGGTATCATACCATGTTTCATCCAGGTAAATCAAATTTCTTTTCTGCTCTCTATAGATTTTAACTTTGTGCAAAAATTCTTGGCGCAATTCAACGATTCGAGACGACTCCATAATCACCATTCTTTTATCTAATTTTTTGTATTGAAAACCACACAGTTTTACAATACAGTGCAGTGAGTCTAAGCATTTGTAATTATAAAAATCTTCAGGATAATCTTTTAATTTATCCCGTATCATTTCCAACGTGGGCACCAAATTTTCTTTATAAGATCCGTATATTATACGACGAATATCTTCCTGAAAACCCACGTCTATTCTTTTTAATTTTTGCCCTATGCGCTTTCTGTGGAAGGAATGGTTGACTACATCTCCCCTTTTTATAACCCGATAAATGGTAGACCGACTGATTTTTGTCAGGATACAAATTTGATTTTGCGAGGAATCTGGATTTTCGTTTTTCAGACAATCATACATATTCAGGATTACTCTTTGGGTCTGTTCCTCTAAATCTTTATGAAAGAATTCTGCCTGCACAGGTTCATCAACCATCTCCTCGTGGCTTGGAGCATTTTCCCAAGGTCTCCAAAGAGCCATATTTAGGACACACAAGAACAATCAACACAACAATTAAATCAACAAGTAAACTGAGTATTCAAAAGTCAAAAACACACAAACTAATAAAATCTATGAAAAAACACGGACAGACTAAAGAAAACACGTTTATTCACCGCTACACGGCACTGGCTAAACTGTTTCAATTTTCAGTAGCCACCTGCACTTGTTCGGAGCTCTGAAATACACGCTTTCTCATTGGCTATGTCCACGCATAGGCGTGCTTTACTCCACGTGGACCGGTGAAACTGCCTTTGATCTTATACATATATTTGCTGCGAAATTTGGCGATTTTTGCAGCAACAGAGCGTGTTAAATATAGATATATAAAACGCACCCGATATTTCACAGTGTTTCAAGTGACTTCAGATAAAGTATACGCATACCTTGAGAACACTCTGAAATTATATGTGATGCATTTAGTTCATATATAACAATAAAAAACTAAGATATTGCTTCTTTATACATTCTATTTAAGAGGGTGAGGAACAAGGAGAAGGATAGGTGACTTTTTATAAGACACTTTTACTCGTACAACCTATTATGGGATACCTATAATGCAGAGCACGCATGAATTTTAGAGGCTGGATTTGGCATCACTGTCTTGGCTGGCTGATTGTCTTCTCTACTTTGATCAAAATCGGCTTCATTGATTTGTCCTCCAAGGATGTTTTCACGAAATTGCTTCTGCGTCTGGTCCAGACGTGTTGCCACACCGTATTTTTGAAGCATCTCCCAAAGAATGTCATGTGGGATACAGTAAGGGAACTGACCAGCATCTTTTGAAGTCACCACTCGAAGTTAAGAATGGCACTGTTACTTATGCAAGGACCTACCTGATAGATTCATGCTTGAATTATTTTCAATTTGACTTCTATAGAAACATTCTAGCTAAAGTCAATGATTGGAGACCGAGCATAAGCTGCTCGATTAGACTTTGTAATTCGTTTTTTCATGAATTGTGGTTATTGTTTTATTAATATCGAGCTCAAGGTATCGTATTTGATCTATCGTAATAGATAGACGGCGGGGGTTACGACTGTTTGCTCCTCATTCCCGCCCCACTTAATCTGTTGAGGATACGTTCTTGCTCATCTAAACACTTGGTTATCTGCTTATTACAAATACTCAGATATCTCTCCTATTGTCCACCGGTAGCTGTGTATTTGCTGTTTAGATTGATTTAGTACGTACAAATCATCTTCGCATTGTGATATCGTTTGTCTTTTGACAAAATTTTCTACTGGCAGATGAGCAACATTTAAGTCCTACAGATAGGGCCCGAGGATAGATCCCTGTGGTACTCCGTATCGTTGGTATATATTTGTGATGATATTCTTGTCGTGCATTTGTTGGATAAGTAGAGTTTTCTATAATTCATAACATTGACACTAGGATTGAACAAGGAGTTTAATGGTGCGCTTGAGTCTCATCCTCAAGTTTATTTCGAGGTCAACTTTGGCTTTCCAAGTCGACAATCAAAATAACGTAAAGTTCAAGGTCATCGCTGTAGGTCAAATATGTCAGGCTTGGGAAAACTCCTAGATGTTTAGCAGGTTTATTACTGAAAAAAAATATTGGGCATAGGTCTTTAGTAACTGATAATCAAAAATCCGCTGTTACTTGATGTATTGAATGAATATGATCTTATTATATTACGGCTTGCTAAGCCATAACCCTTTATACGTTTTTACAACAATTTACTTAAGGCGCACGCACACTGAGAAGCGATACGAAGGGAACCACGGCGACATTTGTCATTCGCCCGCGTCCAATGTCGCTCCAGTGTACGAATTATTATTTGATTATCGGAATTATCGGAACTCAGCCAAAGAGTTTCGCTTTTCTTCTCTTCGCTTCTCTTCCCCTGAGCGTGGAATTTCCTTGAATTTTCGATAATTTCCATCTAGTTCAAATGCTGTGGCATCGATTCAGCAAACGAATACGATACATCCTTGTGGCGACTGCAAGGACTTGGGCCCAGATTGGCAGTACCATTGACTTGTTGCAAATTGTTGAACGCCAACGACACCAAAGCTTATCTCAGTCCTAGACCGATCAACCAGAACTTTTGCCAAGATCTGGAGAAACAGACTCACTCAGCATACAGGCATACAGTGGTAAGTCGTAGAATACTCGTAGTTATTTTTTCAAAACAAAATGGAGATAAAAGGGGGTTTTCAAGAAGGTTGGGCTGATATTGTGATATAATAAAATAAGACGTGCGAAGTATTAACGATATATATATATATATATATATATATATATATATATATATATACAGGGTGACTTTGAAGTTGAGTCATTAATTTTCAGATAATGATTGTAGAAGGAAGATAAACCAAAATATGTGTGTAAAAATAAAAAAAAATTAAAAACAAAATGTTACCTTGTTTTATAAAGTATCCTCCCGACAAGTATTTCAGTGCGGACCTGTATTTGATCGTGCGGTCTTGGAGCACCGGCATGCCCTCCCCTGTGAGGTCTTAAGTCACCTGATTCACGAGCCCTTTGTACTACATTAACAAAGGCACGAGGGGTTGGTTGCACTCGATTGGGAAACCGATCCGCATAAATCCGTGATGCCGCGTAAATAAGAATCATGTCCACAAGTTCAGCATTTTCGTAAACATGTGCCATTTTTGATTTCGTTTGAGCCACGCAACAGACACCACTATTCACTCACGCGTTACCGACTAACACTGACTGTATACAACAGAATAAAATAATTGTAAAAACATCGTTCCAAATTCTTTCGCTTTTTTGTTTCCGATGCCAAACACGAGCACATAATATTATTATTGAGACAGGGCGGTACTCAAACTTCCAAAGGGCTATAATTTTGTTACTTTAATTTTACCAGAAAAATGGTAAAGGAAAAAAACATTTCTTTTGATCAGATCTACTCACTGTTAAAATAAATGATTCAACTTCGAAGTATATATATTAACGATACTATTTTTAATTTGAGATGCTATGTACACAATTTTGTATGAAAACAATCCATCTCGGCTTTGCACAGTAGTCTTTTCTCTCCTTTATATAAACAATACCGACTTCGACTGTCACCATCACGGAAACGGTAAGAGATACATAGTCGCTTAACTGGAGCAACGTTGCGCATTTGGATAACTAAGAAAATATCAGGTAGAAAGTGTCGCAATTCCGGGTTTTTCAGGAGAGAATCGGGAAAAACTGTATTTTCCCGCAACTGTTTTTATTTTTCATGGAATTATTTAATAAATAGCACATTCACATTGCCACCTTTGCCTCTACAAGTCAGCATAATTAGAATTTCAATATGATGTCTCGTCTCTTATCCTTAAATCATCAAATTTTTTTTTGACGCCATATATTTTTACACGAGTGAATAGAGTTTTTACTTCTGATTCCAAACATGTATAATAAGTGATATATTGACTTTGCCAAACCTTGGTTATTATATTATATTAAAAACAATGTCCTAAGTAGGCTTCAAATTATCAAATCATTTGTTTTCACAATATTATCAGCCTAGCTTTTCTAGGGTTTTCAAGAACTAGTTGAACTATCCCTTTTTCTGATTTTATAGGTGTGATATTGTACAAATCTTAAAGTAATGCAATAAACTTCTGGTCACGTTTTGAATCTTTGACGGTATTGGTAAATTGGCAGCCAACTTGCATGCTTGGGAAATTTGGTTACTTCATTAGTGGCGCATCCTACACGTTCCGCGGGTGAAACAGCGCGGCAGAAAGCTAGGGTATTATGAAATAAGAATTATTAAAGAGCCAATAATTGGAATGTGCCGGCTTCAACCAACACATCAGTTAGTTCTCACCTACAAATACTGCCTGTCCATACCCGTTTATTATTTTTCATTCGTGTTGTGTACGAAAGATACATAATGTATGTATATACGTATAATTGTCTATTAAGTTTTAATGAACGGCAACTGCACTCACGCATGTTAGTCATGAAACTTGAATCGCTTATACACCCTCCTGTCTCTCATAGGGTCATGACCTTTCCAGTGTAGGAAGCAGATATTCGCCTTTAGTATCACTTTATTAAATAACTTGATTGTGTCTCAGTATGTACTTACTAGCCTTGCATTGATGTAATTGAAGGCGAATTATGTACTAAGATTAATAGAAATGGTTAACTGGTATGTCTGCGAACTTTTATCAAAATTATTGACGGCCAGGGGAGAACATGAATAGTTTTATTGAATTTGGAATATGTCTGGTTATCAAGTTTTATTTATATGCTTGGGCCAAAGATCAAGATGAACACAGAAAACCCGGAATGTGCTAAAATGCGAAATATATCCTAAAAATCTACAAAAGTGTGAGATTTTAAGGTCTTATCGGGTTCTGAGGGGGTCTCAACCTCCTGCCCCCCACTTCCTCTATATTTTTTTAGTATGAGATTGCAATCTTTACTAACTGTGCGAAAAAAAATACTGTTACTAGAAACCATTTCCCCTCAAGGCCGTTGTTTCAATAAGATAAATAAATTCCTGTTTTTAGGCTCCAATTACATACAAACGTTTATACCCTTGAAGACCGTAAGACCTCTATAAAATTCCTATCCCTGAATTGAATTATACACATTTTCATAGATAGTTTTGACAATGAAGATTGAGTTCTAGACAAATTGTAGAGTCGCCAAGAAAAAACTTACTCAAAGGTCAACCATATGCTTTCAAATAAGAATTCTGTCGGTGTAATTTTTTGCTGATTTGCTGGATATTCTTCACCAAAAAGTTACAAGATATGTCACCTTTATAAGTGATAATTTTTTAGGGTTGCTGGATGGCTCTAGATCAGTGGTACAGAGAGCACTACTTTGCTTTCTTGATGGTCGGATTCGTGATAGTTCTTGTGGAATTTTGCGTACTCATGAGTACAATCCTCTCTTGCACAAGAATTTACCATTACAATCAAGAGGTACGTATTAATATCCATAAATTTTATTCTTTGACATTCAATAGTTTGCTTATCGGAGAAGCAAAATGATTTTACTGATTTTATTGTGTATATTTTTATTCCACAAATCCATACATAACTTTTAATTTCTGTGGAATATCTTCTATGAAATTTTCTAATGTCCCTTTTTTCGTTTTTACAAGCCCGCACGTAAGCCTATTAATTCCAAATGGGTTTTAAATTTGCAGTAAGTATTTCGTTATTCAACGTATTGAAACAGCGGATCGATCCAAGCTTCATCACAATAAGAAGCCTATTCTTTGCCTTTTAGTATTCACTCCTAGAGGGAGCCCTCATGCCTCGGATAGAGGATAGTTGCTATGCTTTCGTTCAGTGGTCTCAGAGACTAAGCACGAAACATCTGCCCATGGTTGGCTTTCAGTGATCGGATGGACGAAAGCAACATTTTTAGTTGTTCAATGGCGAGAAGACCACATCTACTATACCGCCTGAACTGTCAACGTCTAGCGGTCACAGTGTTGACTGGGCTATCAAACGCGCACTGAGATCTTACTGGTAATAGATAACGCTTTGTGCTGCCTTATTTCAAAAGGCCGTATTAGGTACTTGGGACAATTTCACGAAATCTTTCAACGACTTGACCTAGAAAATTTCATATTGCGCATGTCATTTAGAGGGGCGGCAATTTAATAATGGATTATTTGATGATGGAGGAAGGCTTCCGAATTGCACAAACCTACTATTAAAATTATCTCATTTCACTTCCCATGCCAAACCTGGCGAAGAAGTATTGTAATCGAGAAATTGAGATATGTTTTTTGGATGGTATACATCACGAAAAACTATGTCTCTCATTTCCGTCGGTGTGTCTGTCGGTCTCTCCGCTAATTTTATAACCGCTTGAGAAGTGCCGCTCGGATTCTGATGAAATTTTCACACTACTATTAAGCCAATGATGAAAAAGCTTTGTAGTTTTTGAAAGTCGGTCTAATGGTGGCTCAGAAAAGGACCAAAAATGGAAAAAAATAAAAATCACTCAAACTTTGTTTATGACGTATTTGGGGATCCTGAGCATTTTCAAAAAAATGTTTGTAGAGGTTGAAATTTGGATGAGGGTATATGAATTTTTTTCGATCTTAGTATACGCTGTCAACTACGGCAATGTTATGCACATATAGCCATATTTCACACATCATAGATTTACCCATTTCCCATTAAAACTTGAAGTCGAATTATAGAGAAATGTTTTCGATCCGCGTACTCGTTCCTGCCTATCAAAGCGAACTGCCTGGCGAGCCATTCCGGCTTATACATATGTATATGTATTCGTACTGAAGCCCAAAAAACATAGCGAGCTTGACAAACCGAAAGATAACTAGCTGCAGAGATGCAGCGCAGTTGTAAAAAGGGACAACGTTGCCACATGGTCGGTAACTACCAGTAGGGCAGAGAAAAAATGCCTATGGACTAATTGTATGGGCCTGTTTGAATTATTTAATACGTTTAATTTCTTTCTTCTACATGTCGTAAGCCAATATTTTTCAGAGGATTTAAATTGTGCTGAAACTAATTCTTTATAAATTGATGACGGCATTGCGCATTAAGTGCAGAGTCAACCCACTTGACGCCGTGTTTTCCATGTTAACTGAAAGCCTTCCACATATATGGACAATATAACCCCGCTTGACGTTTTTCGTGAGGATTTCTCAAGAATAAAGCTTATTCAAGCAATTCGCATACGATTAAGGACCTGAAGCAAAAGTTACTGGTGGAATTTGTGTGTGAAAATTTTAGTTGACGAATTCTCATCCATTGAAACAGACGAAAGGGGGAGTGTGCGGTTGGAAATATTATTTAAACAAAACTTCCATACCTCTATATTCTGATCGTATAAAACAAGCATGCTATTGTTCCAAAAGTGTTGTTTTAATCAAAAAAATCCCAAAGTACCTATCGATACACCCTTATACTTCAAAATCTTTTAACTGAAGTTGAGGCATTTTATAGATTCATAAGTGATTAGGTTACACGTGTTTTCAAAAACCTTTATAATTATTTTTTTATCAATTTCTTGTACTGCCCACGCCACTGGCGAGGAAATCGCGAGTAAAACAGAAAATGGGATACTATGTTTTGCATGCTGTATGATATGTACGAGTATATAACGAAAAACCGTGTCACTCATTTCCGTAGGTATGTCCGTCTGCCTGTCCGCTAACTCTTGACCCCTCTATAACTTAGAAAGTAGCGATCGAATTTTGCCGAAATTATCGCACAATGTTACTACTATACCAAGAATAAAACATCTTTGTAGACTTCGAAAATCAACCTAGCGGCTGCGGAACAAAAAAAGTTAAAAAAAGGCTCCTAACCATTTTCAGAAAAATGTTTGCAGGAGTTAAAAATTGGGTGAGCAGTATTATAGGCGGTATATCTCATTTTTTGAAGTTTTATCCTTCCAAGTCCGCTAGTTATATGCAACTATTAGACATAACACACATATCATTTGTCCTTAGAACTGGGGGAATATTTTAAACACAAGCGTGGGACATACCTTCATAAATTGATTAAAACTAAAAGCCCTCCATATCTGATTGAAAAATTAACTCGTAGAAATCTGATTCACTCTCATGCAACACGTTTTAATGTACTTTATGAAATACCTAAAATAACTAAAACCATGACTCAAAGCTCATTTTCCTATACATCAGTCAAACTTCTAAACCAATACAATATAGGTCAATTTGAAGATATGTCCCCTAATATGTTCAAACGAAAACTGAAACAACTGCTTCTGTGAAGTATAAGTTGTTTATTATTGCTTATTTTCTTTGTATACGTACATCTGTAGTTATTATTGTTCATTGTTGTTATGTAATATTCTAAAATTAATGTAATGTAAAACTTGTTTCTTGTCATATTACTTTTCTTTTTGGCTTGTTGTTACTTTTTACATGCTCGGTTAAGTTAACAGCATAGCTGGCCTTCGCCGAGTTTATAATAAAGGCGTTTTTATTTATTTATTATTATTATACCTGCGTTAGGGTTTGACGGATGGGCGACTGGCGAGATGCGACGTTGCCAGATAATCGCTAGTGTATGGGAGACATTTCTAGACCGCAACGTTGTCAAATGGGTGGATCATGTTTATCGGATTTAATTTTGTTACACATTTTTTTGTTTTTTTTTCTCAGAGTGTCCGAACATAATCCCTTATAAACCGGTAACAGCGTTACTGGACCATTTTTGAAAAATATATTCTTTTCAAACCTGTAGTTGAAAGAAGCTTCGCGGCAGATTGAAAGAGACCCGCCAGATCCAACATTTACCCCAGTCTCAAGGGCGTCCAGCTCTCAAGCAGGTGCTTACAGCAACGACACCTACGCCCTTACGGATCAATTTAACAAGCAGCACCAAGCGCAAGTCAACCAGTACAAAGACACGGAGCAGTTCAATAAGCAGGGGGCGTATGCGAACTTAGTGGAGAGGGCATGATGTTGGCTTAGAGGTCTCTTCAGGTAAGTCAATCCATGGGACATAAATGTTATTCCCTATGTTAAGTATAAAAATGGGAATTGCTCAATTTAATTAGCGGGTCACTTTCTTTGATCCCTTATTTTAGTACTACCACTTGTGTAATTGATCTGCGGTTTTGAAGCAAATGGATTCCTATCCGGAAGAAGTACTGAACCACTCTACTTGACAACTCTTTTTTGTAGGCCCAGTTATGTCTACGAAGTTGAGGTTGAATCGATGTTATGGTGAAGTGATCTCTGAAAACTACAAGTATTTGAGGATAACAGACTTGACGTGGAAAAGACTTATGTAAAACATGCCTTAATGTTTTTCAAGATTCTTAATCTATATTGAAAAATGCAGGTCTGTAATATTTGCCATACATACATACCTACTTTACATTTATTTATACTAAGCTCTCAACTTTAGTAACCATACATATCTTGATATTTGAGGAAAATTTGCCGGCAAATTCACAGAAAAAATATTTGCACCCTCAAATTTCTCATTTACTTTTTTATGCAGACCTGTGTTTTATTTTTTTAATGCATACCAAAAAGACTGTGATCCTATTGCATATCTTAAAACGAATAAATTACCAGGCTAATATTTTTTCATACAGTTTTTCAGAACTGAGGCACAGCGCCACCTCATTGCTTAATTTTCGACTAACAAATATCAGCAATATTTTTGTATCAGCTACTGAGCCGAAAATCTTTGATCTGAGGTTGGAACCACTCAATTCTGAAACGCACTGTATAGCAAATAGACATACCAAAGCTGTGTACGTAATCGTTGAAGATTGCTCCACATTTGATATTCGCTTTCCGCATTATATAATTCTAGGATTATGCGTCGATTATCTCTTATTATACTTATAATTATTCTAGGTAGCATAATTTTACAATAACTCATCTATCATAGACTGTTACTATATAAAGAAATAAATATGATTACAATACGAATTGTTTTTTGTTTTTCCTTTGATATACTACTAACGTAGTATATATAGTCAGTTTATTTTCAGTTTTCATCTAGCCTTTGATCGCATCTCCTAGTTGTGTATTAACGCTTATTAACAGAGTCGTCCTCAGCAGATGCGAGGCCTTTAGCAAAACATTTTTGGGAGATCCTTTTTTAAAGAAAGTGGTCTACTTCGAAAATTTTTAAAAACTCTCGTGCAGAAAAGGGTTTGTTAGCATTTTTGATGAAGTCATTTCATGTCAAAACACGCCAATTATTTGCGTTTTTTTTTTCATTTGCCAGAGTTGAGTCTATTTTTGATATAAGTATAAAATATTTCACTCTGTGTAAAGAATTGAGATAAGAAAGAAGTATGATTTAAGAGTATGGTCTCTTCCACTTTAATTTTTTAAGCAATGAATCGTTTGGAAAATTAAAATAAAATTTAGGTAAACGAATTTGTAGTGAATAATCAATCATAAATAAGCACATATTGTTACAAAATATTCATATTATTTGCACATACTATCATTTGTTTGGTATTCTTAAGTGGAAACGTTAAATATTGTTCAAGCTTAGGAAATAATTGACAAACACACATCCAGTGGTCACGATATTGTGTTCAATGTAAATAAATCTATACATAACGACCGCGGTGACTCTAGCAACAACGGCCAGCCAGCAACAAACGATAGTCCCTCTTCTCACCAGCGGCCGCGTCGCGCTGGACACCATCGCGCGTCGCTACAGCCGCGAAGCCGGCGCAGCGTAAGCAGGCGGTGCGGCACCGTCTTCCCATGTAAAACGGTGTTATAGTATCTACACAAAATTATATACATTGTGTGTTGTCAGTGTTATCACACTATCTATCACATTCCGTGGTCGGGGCATATTAAGCCTACCAGAGGGAGCGAAAGTTACCTATACGAAACGCACATGGAAATTTGAAAATTAAAATACTCAATTTTTCTTCAAATCAACACCACTTTTTTTTCACGAAAATCAATTTTACAATGTATCCTTCATATCCGGGATCGATTACATCTCGTGGCCGGGGCATATTAAGCCTACCAGAGGGAGCGAAAGTTACCTATACGAAACGCACATGGAAATTTGAAAATTAAAATACTCAATTTTTTTTCAAATCAACACCACTTTTTTTTCACGAAAATCAATTTTACAATGTATCCTTCATATCCGGGATCGATTACATCTCGTGGCCGGGGCATATTAAGCCTACCAGAGGGAGCGAAAGTTACCTATACGAAACGCACATGGAAATTTGAAAATTAAAATTCTCAATTTTTTTTCAAATCAACACCACTTTTTTTTCACGAAAATCAATTCTACAATGCATCCTTCATATCCGGAATCGATTACATCTCGTGGCCGGGGCATATTAAGCCTACCAGAGGGAGCGAAAGTTACCTATACGAAACTCACATGGAAATTTGAAAATTAAAATACTCAATTTTTCTTCAAATCAACACCACTTTTTTTTCACGAAAATCAATTTTACAATGTATCCTTCATATCCGGGATCGATTACATCTCGTGGCCGGGGCATATTAAGCCTACCAGAGGGAGCGAAAGTTACCTATACGAAACGCACATGGAAATTTGAAAATTAAAATACTCAATTTTTTTTCAAATCAACACCACTTTTTTTTCACGAAAATCAATTTTACAATGTATCCTTCATATCCGGGATCGATTACATCTCGTGGCCGGGGCATATTAAGCCTACCAGAGGGAGCGAAAGTTACCTATACGAAACTCACATGGAAATTTGAAAATTAAAATACTCAATTTTTTTTCTAATCAACACCACTTTTTTTTCACGAAAATCAATTTTACAATGCATCCTTCATATCCGGGATCGATTACATCTCGTGGCCGGGGCATATTAAGCCTACCAGAGGGAGTGAAAGTTACCTATACGAAACTCACATGGAAACTTGAAAATTAAAATTCTCAATTTTTTTTCAAATCAACACCACTTTTTCTTCACGAAAATCAATGCTACAATGTATTCTTCATATCCGGGATCAATTACATCTCGTGGCCGGGGCATATTAATCCTACCAAATGGAGCGAAAGTTACCTATACGAAAAGCACATGGAAATTTGAAAATTAAAATACTCAATTTTTCTTCAAATCAACACCACTTTTTTTTCACGAAAATCAATTTTACAATGTATCCTTCATATCCGGGATCGATTACATCTCGTGGCCGGGGCATATTAAGCCTACCAGAGGGAGCGAAAGTTACCTATACGAAACGAACATGGAAATTTGAAAATTAAAATTCTCAATTTTTTTTCAAATCAACACCACTTTTTTTTCACGAAAATCAATTCTACAATGCATCCTTCATATCCGGGACCGATTACATCTCGTGGCCGGGGCATATTAAGCCTACCAGAGGGAGCGAAAGTTACCTATACGAAACGCACATGGAAATTTGAAAATTAAAATTCTCAATTTTTTTTCAAATCAACACCACTTTTTTTTCACGAAAATCAATTCTACAATGCATCCTTCATATCCGGGATCGATTACATCTCGTGGCCGGGGCATATTAAGCCTACCAGAGGGAGCGAAAGTTACCTATACGAAACGAACATGGAAATTTGAAAATTAAAATTCTCAATTTTTTTTCAAATCAACACCACTTTTTTTTCACGAAAATCAATTCTACAATGCATCCTTCATATCCGGGATCGATTACATCTCGTGGCCGGGGCATATTAAGCCTACCAGAGGGAGCGAAAGTTACCTATACGAAACGCACATGGAAATTTGAAAATTAAAATACTCAATTTTTTTTCAAATCAACACCACTTTTTTTTCACGAAAATCAATTTTACAATGTATCCTTCATATCCGGGATCGATTACATCTCGTGGCCGGGGCATATTAAGCCTACCAGATGGAGCGAAAGTTACCTATACGAAAAGCACATGGAAATTTGAAAATTAAAATTCTCAATTTTTTTTCAAATCAACACCACTTTTTTTTCACGAAAATCAAGTCTACAATGCATCCTTCATATCCGGGATCGATTACATCTCGTGGCCGGGGCATATTAAGCCTACCAGAGGGAGCGAAAGTTACCTATACGAAACGCACATGGAAATTTGAAAATTAAAATACTCAATTTTTTTTCAAATCAACACCACTATTTTTTCACGAAAATCAATTCTACAATGCATCCTTCATATCCGGGATCGATTACATCTCGTGGCCGGGGCATATTAAGCCTACCAGAGGGAGTGAAAGTTACCTATACGAAACTCACATGGAAATTTAAAAATTAAAATTCTCAATTTTTTTTCCAATCAACACCACTTTTTCTTCACGAAAATCAATGCTACAATGTATCCTTCATATCCGGGATCAATTACATCTCGTGGCCGGGGCATATTAAGCCGACCAAATGGAGCGAAAGTTACCTATACGAAAAGCACATGGAAATTTGAAAATTAAAATACTCAATTTTTCTTCAAATCAACACCACTTTTTTTTCACGAAAATCAATTTTACAATGTATCCTTCATATCCGGGATCGATTACATCTCGTGGCCGGGGCATATTAAGCCTACCAGAGGGAGCGAAAGTTACCTATACGAAACGAACATGGAAATTTGAAAATTAAAATACTCAATTTTTTTCAAATCAACACCACTTTTTTTTCACGAAAATCAATTCTACAATGCATCCTTCATATCCGGGATCGATTACATCTCGTGGCCGGGGCATATTAAGCCTACCAGAGGGAGTGAAAGTTACCTATACGAAAAGCACATGGAAACTTGAAAATTAAAATACTCAATTTTTCTTCAAATCAACACCACTTTTTTTTCACGAAAATCAATTCTACAATGCATCCTTCATATCCGGGATCGATTATATCTCGTGGCCGGGGCATATTAAGCCTACCAGAGGGAGCGAAAGTTACCTATACGAAACGCACATGGAAATTTGAAAATTAAAATACTCAATTTTTTTTCAAATCAACACCACTTTTTTTTCACGAAAATCAATTTTACAATGTATCCTTCATATCTGGGATCGATTACATCTCGTGGCCGGGGCATATTAAGCCTACCAGAGGGAGCGAAAGTTACCTATACGAAAAGCACATGGAAATTTGAAAATTAAAATACTCAATTTTTCTTCAAATCAACACCACTTTTTTTTCACGAAAATCAATTCTACAATGCATCCTTCATATCCGGGATCGATTATATCTCGTGGCCGGGGCATATTAAGCCTACCAGAGGGAGCGAAAGTTACCTATACGAAACGCACATGGAAATTTGAAAATTAAAATACTCAATTTTTCTTCAAATCAACACCACTTTTTTTTCACGAAAATCAATTTTACAATGTATCCTTCATATCTGGGATCGATTACATCTCGTGGCCGGGGCATATTAAGCCTACCAGAGGGAGCGAAAGTTACCTATACGAAAAGCACATGGAAATTTGAAAATTAAAATACTCAATTTTTCTTCAAATCAACACCACTTTTTTTTCACGAAAATCAATTTTACAATGTATCCTTCATATCCGGGATCGATTACATCTCGTGGCCGGGGCATATTAAGCCTACCAGAGGGAGCGAAAGTTACCTATACGAAACGAACATGGAAATTTGAAAATTAAAATTCTCAATTTTTTTTCAAATCAACACCACTTTTTCTTCACGAAAATCAATGCTACAATGTATTCTTCATATCCGGGATCAATTACATCTCGTGGCCGGGGCATATTAATCCTACCAAATGGAGCGAAAGTTACCTATACGAAACGCACATGGAAATTTGAAAATTAAAATACTCAATTTTTTTTCAAATCAACACCACTTTTTTTTCACGAAAATCAATTTTACAATGTATCCTTCATATCCGGGATCGATTACATCTCGTGGCCGGGGCATATTAAGCCTACCAGAGGGAGCGAAAGTTACCTATACGAAACTCACATGGAAATTTG